TTCCGTCTATCTCTTTCGTTTGAGTTAGCGACTACGTTGTGTTTAGTTTAAGTTATTTCGTATTAATAGCATTAATTCGTATTACTTAGAATATTAAGATAGTATTAGTTTTAAGTTGAAGAACGAAGACAACCGACGAGGGAACTTAATTTTTTATAGGTTTAGGCTCAAGAAAGAAGTCATCCGCCGAGGGATTTTAGTAGCGATAGTATTACATAGTTAAGATTTAAGTTATTTAAAAGGTTTATTGTGAAAGGTGGGAAGATGTAGAACTTGTGATTCCATCTACCAGCCTTGGGCCTCCACTCGCAGCAACCTCCTCGTGGTGAGGCCTGGGCAATCGGTATTATCATCGGTAAAGTACTGTAAACTGATGACAATATCGAGCTAATGGCTGCGAACTTTGCATCTATCTCATAAAACCACGTTCTATATTACATCGAACTAGGATTATTTTAGAAATCTATATGAGATTCAAAGTGTAAAAATGTCTAGTACTTTGAATGTTTTAGAAAATTATTCGAGATCAAGATGTATCGAACTACTGAAAATTACTTTAGATTCCTTTTCCTTGTTCTGTAAATTCTTTGATTGGAATATGAATGCTGCTGGAAGTATGAACTGGTATGAACATCCGGGGGTTCTATGACCCCACGTACTCAACACACGAGGTCCCTGGTAGCTCTATCGGGGGTTGTATGACCCCACAACTCATCCCCACCCCCCGGGTCTCTGGCGCCTCCACCGGGCGTTCTATGACCCCCCCGTTCTCACCACACGGTCTCTGGCGTCTTCGCCGGGGGTTCTATGACCCCACAACTCACCACACGGGGTCTCTGGCGGCTCCACCGGGGGTTCTATGACCCCACGTCCTCACTACACGGTGTCTCTGGCGCCACCTGCGGGGGTTCTGTGACTTGGGTGTATGTTCATCTCATCACGTGAGCACTCTCATTTCCTCTTTGTATTTATAAACAATATACATACATAGTAAGAACTATATATTATTTTCCTTACACATTCTGTTATTAGCAAATAAGGTTTTGTAAAAAGTATGGAATATTCACAATAGAGATATTTTATATGTAAAAAATTTGAACTAGGGATAGGTAATTTGTAAGTAGGAGTGAATAAAATAATATTATAGACTATGATAAAACATATAATAAAAACATTTATTTACAGAATTTAATGTTTGTACAATATAAATGTTGTTTTACAAGATCGTCCTCTTCATTGATGTATGGTATTATTATATTTGATTCTGACAATGATCTGAAAATGTATAAAACAATTTGTATTGTTTCTAGTATACTTATATAGCAATGTGTAAATAGTATTTCACAATGTGTATTACAATACGAATGGTATAGTTAATATGAAACATTCTATAGTAAAACAGAAATTATACTTGAAAAAGCAATCATATGATTCAAATAAATACTTACAATTCTGAACATAGTATATTTAAATCTTGTGGTATGATATAACGCGTATGCGGAGACAAATCGACGAATGGATCATTTTCATCTTCACAACTCTCATATCCTTTTAATCTACAATACAAGTACAAATAACAGAATGTATACTTATAATTACTGTTGATTGACTTTTGTTGTACAATTTGCTGATACCATACCTTACGATAAAATGTTTCGCTTGCTGTAGCATTGAGTGTTCAACATTACGTTTTGCCAAATCGAATATTATAGGAAATGCTATATCACGAAAGTCGCTAATTTCCATAAAATCATGGTGTTCATTGTTCTCATCAGAAAGATCCTTTTTAAATCTTCGAGTAATTAATGATCTAACTGTCGGCGTATCTACCCAAATAACGCGGGATCCTCTATTAAGCATTTCTGCAAACCAATCAGCCCCACCTATCTCAGCAACATGATTACAATCTGTTGCATTGTACCAATCATGGATCTAGAGAATATGGAATAAATGTTTGTTATTTAAAAAAAGTGATTTTTAGAAATATGTAACAGAATTGTTCAAGAACTTACAGAACACTGACAAGCTGTGCCAAGTACACCTCGAAACTCTGCCATTAATGTCATATAAGATTCAGAACCTTTAGAATATAATAGAACAATGTCTGTGTTGAAGTCATCAGTGGTATTACGTACTGTCTCTTTCTTGTTTTTTAGGATGTTAGATTTATTACTCTTCGCATTGATCTTCTGAATCTTATTTTTGCCAACAATTATACAAAACCTTTTGCCTTGCATACAATAAATATCTCTAGCATACATGAGGCACACCATTACAAGTATTATGCATATAATTAATGAGATCACACTTATTGTCCAGTAGAAATAGGTGTATATATAAATTTCAGTATTAACAGTTGGAATATTAGTCTGGTCTGGGATAGACTTACAGTCTGCAAAAATATTTCCACTGGTTATTTATAATTTATAAATGACTGAGATATATACTAAAAAAACACTATATATTGCATTTATCCACAATTAGAAGTCTATTATAAATTATTAGAAAATTCGAATAAAAGAATTGTTCTTTTTTAATTAATTGTCATTATGAAAGATAAGAATTAAATACAGCCATGATAATCTAAACTTCTTTACCTTCGTGTACTTTACATGAATGCTCAGATTTCCATAGAGTGTTGCTGTTGCATCTTATATCACGAAAAATTATAAGAATGCAATACTTGGATTCTGTACTCATATTATTGTATAATGTATTTTCATCAAGTTTAATTTCAAACTGTGTGCTATTCTTGTACATCAAGTTTTCTAACTAAGGAAAGAAATCCAAATAATTAAATAGTGACAATGATCAAAGATAGAACTTACCACAGATACATTGGACTTGGTGTCTTTATATTTGCTATATTCTTCCTGTAAAGGAAATATCAGTTATACATGAGTACCAATTTTTATAATGTTAAAGCATTACCAAAATATTAAATGTCCGAGGTTTGTACTTTAGTCCAGAATCATGTATGTTACAGGAGTTTGAATTTCCCAATGATCCTAATCTAAATATTACTTCTGAAACTAGCGATGTTGCGAAATCTATTTCAAAATGGAGCTTCTTTCTGTAGAATTTAAATATAATTGCACTTTAATTTTCCAAATCGGATACAATGACTGCTATTAAGAAGTTACTTTATGATACATAAAGTAAAAAACTTTTCTGGTTTACTAATTATTACCACTTTTATATCAGTTTATAAAATTTATATCGATAATATAAACTTACTCATTTGTACTATCATGTAGAATGTCATATCTACATTCCAATGTAGGCCATAATATTTCTGTGCGATTATAATTTGTTTTTAAGTATTGTGTAAAGATCTTATCTCCACCTTTACCAAAGTTAAACTGTAAAGCATAACATGCTGTAAATATATATGAGAAGTCAATAGACATATTTTTCTGCAACACACACACAATTTATCACGTTACTAAACAATACAGATGTTATATAATTCTTGAAGTTACATACAAGAATACTTACTAAATATTTCGTACTATTTGAAAAGGAACATATGGTTTCTTCAGATGTATGTACTTTAGTACCATTATGGTTCATAAAATCATAATGATTTATACATTCATTTTTATTAACTAGTTCATTTGCTAGCAGAATTACTTTATACTTGCATCTCCTTTTTGGTGGTGTAAAATTAGTTTGTAAAGAAGCTAGATATGATTATTTAATACATTTAAATATTATATACAACAATATCACGCAGGCAAGTTTCAAGTTTTATAATTGATTAGAAACTCCAATGACTAAAGCAACTATTTCATAAAAGAAATTTAATATGCATATGTTACTATTTACCATGATATATAAAACTTTTGGCTTCATGTTCTCTCAATGTGAAAGCAATATTATTTGAGATGTCTTCCTTTGTACAGAAAATGTCCACTGCATTATCTATCATACGATGATCATTGTCTGATTTTATACAACCTTCAAGATCACAATTAAACTGTAAATAAAATTATTTTTAATACATTGAAATATAGAAGATTTCCATATTAAGTATATTATACATAAAATAAATGTAATTATAAATTAGTAAACGGGTAAAGTATGAATATATGGAAAATAAAGACTTAATATTAAATTGTAGAATTGAAAAACTTATTTCTTCAATTTTGATACTCACAGTACAGTCATTCTGTCCCAGAGTAAATAAATGACTATATACGAGGAAAAAGGCAATCACACGATAAGCTTTATGCATAATTAAATGCCGAAAAAGGAACCATGAATTTGTAATATTCGTAAAAAACTAATTCTTATTGAATTCTATGTTGAATCTTTGAATTTCCCAGAAATTGTTCACACTGAGGAATATACAGAAACTACACAGTTTTTCGATTAAAATGAGTTTCGCCGGAAATTTCCAACTGTCAACATTATCCGTTCCCAATGCATACTGTTTGGCAAAACATATACGCTTTCCATTTAACTGCGTATATCAGAAAAGTGCGGTGGCTGCTACCTACTGGCTCGCACGCTGTGAAAATCGGCAACTTGGGAATAAGTTACATATACATATACATAGGCCTATACATATACCTATATATATGTACGTACTATGTGTCACGTTGCAGCATGCCACTCGCGTACCGCCTTTTTTAACTTGATGTACGATTAAAGTATATATTTCATTGTTCATTGCTTAAGTATGTTTTATTTAAATTTAATCTAAATTACTCACTGTAAATGAATGCGAAGGTATTAACTCTATGATACATAAATAGGTCCTATTAACATAAATCTAAGTAGTGGTAATAAAATATAAAAGAGAACTGTCAAATGCATATAAAATACTATTAATATTTTCACATTTTACTATACTCCATACACAATTATTATATAATATTTATTGTCCTCTAGTAAACTATTTTAAACATAAAGTACAAAAAACTACTAAACATGCAAAGTATAAAGAAGTTCAAGCACACTTATTAGTGTCATGGTAAAAGGCTGTATGCGTATATTTGCGCGTGCAGTTGTGATAACAGGGTTGCTCTAATGTTGTATATAGCATTATATCTTTCAATACTCCCGGACAATGAGGTTGTTAATAACAAATATTAGTTCAAGCCTCGTCATAGCTAATTTTTAGATCGTATTTATTACATATGTTACTGTAAATAATCACAGTGTTTAAAAAAATTATGATACGGAATAGAGAGTATCGTAATAATCTTATAAAACTTATAGAACTTATAGTGTGTTTATAGAAATCACTAAGAAAACGAATTATTATATATTTTTCACAGCCTATCTAACATTCTTCTTGAAAGCTTCCTTTTAACTAGTTTTCAGAGACGAAATACGGTAGTGCTTTGGAAAATCTTCAGTATGGGAGCACCTTTCAAGGCAATACTGTATCTATGAATTACTGAATATACGAAGAATCGGGTTATTTATTACTATATAAACAACAGTATAATAAATATCCTGCTAACATACGCGATGTATGTCATAACGCTTATGGGAGAGAATATAATACTAAAAAATCATGCTAGATGCTAATCCGCGTTGTTCAAATCATAGACGGCTGATTAAAATAGTTGTTTACAGAAACAGAATAACGCGAACAAGTCTTACATCAAGCTTTAGTTATTCTTCTTATGAAGACACAGATGAATTCAATGAAGTTGCATATAAAAAAATTATATTTAATTTTAGCTAGCAGTATAAACCGTTTCCTTGATTCTCGATCACATATTTCTGCAAATACTGGGACGCTTTTTCACTCAAACCAAGTTTTGGCAACTCTTTCTCAAATTGCTCGACGGTTCCAGCTCCAGCTAAATAACCATTCAGCTTAGCAGCTAAAGGAGAATTCCGCAGAATTTCGTTGCTGACGAGACCGGTAGTTTCAATTAACCATGGATGGTTTCTGAGTCGATATTTTTGATGATAGCTAAAAATTATAGTAATATGTTAAACGACGAATAAATCTCCTAACAATACAAATTTAATCAAAGAAGAATGTACTGTCTGTAGTAACACTTAAATTAAAAATCCAATTAACTGCTACAGCTAGAATTAATATTTATTGATTAGATACTGTTTAATAAGAAGTATTTTATGATAACTGATGTACAACCAATTATGGGATATGTGCCAATTCAAAGTCATTTCTGTTCATTAGGTTTTCAATCTATGCATTCTTACTAATTATTAGGGCACAAACTTACTCTTCAGCAGGACGTGACTTCTCGGCTAATAATTTCTGTTCTTCATCGTGGTACAAAATCAACGACATGTACTGAAATGCGAAATATAAATAATTATTGATAGGAAAAGAAAATACGGTGGTAATAGATCCCGAGCAACCTTAAGCGATACTAGTTTACAATTTTCACCTACCTGCCTCTTGATTTTCGTAGTAAGGCCGTACTCGTGATTTTGCCAGAAGAGTGTGAGTAATTGCGAGTACGATATCACATCGGGATTGTATTCGATATCAACGACTTCTGTGTGGTCACCTCTGTAACAAAAAAATAGTAGAAAAATATTATTACACAAAATGATTGAATTAGTAAAAAAAAGTAGGAATGAAAGTGAAATGAAAACATACAAGTTTCTATAAATAGGTGATTCCTTTTGTCCACCGGCGTATCCGACACAGGTTCTAATCACACCTGGTAAGACTCCAAATAGGCAGTCACCTGCCCAGAAGCAACCCATTCCAAAAGTTGCGCGCTTTGCTTGGAGTTCTTCCAATTGCCCAGGCATTTTGTTCGACTAAGTAAAAATAAAAATAATAATATTCAATTACAAATGCTATTATAAAATCGTCGCTGAAATTGAATAAAACAAGTAATGGGATTAAGGAACTCCTGCGTCATTGAGAAAATACTTTGATCCGATACATTGTCCGCGAAACCTGTTAAATAATGGTCGCGCTAAGAATAACGGGAAACAAGTTTTCCATTGTAAAACTTACAGTGTGTTTAAATAAATGTATGTAGTTATAAGAATTTTATCTTTCTTGGACAATTAGTTTTTTTCCAAATTAACAAAATAGAATTGAACATTACATTCATTAAAATATAAACGATCATTTTTAAAGGAATCATTTCAAATATTTTTTTATATTTACTATTTATGTAAATATTTTCATCTATTTTTACAAATTAACGTTTTTAATCATTTTTTTATCATATGCAATATAATGCACGATTCTAAAACAAATGAAATAATCAATGCACCGGTATTATAAAATTAAAATATCCGATGAAAGTTTTAAAATTTGAATGAAACTGAAATGAAATGTTTTTGAAATGAGCAACGTTTACCTCTTTCACGTTCAAAAGAAGGATAACACACGGAACGATTAGAAGCATTCTGGCACCAACTGAATCTAACATTTTTAATGGTGTGTTCTTCAGGGTTTGATTTTGTTAAAGAATTAGCTTATTTATCTTCGTATTTTAATGTTCAGAAATTCTGGTTCTATTAGGACACCCGGTGTATATAAAGAACAGATCCGACTGCCTACAAATAAACCACGAAGACATATACAGGGTGAACTATATAACTTGATCACCTTGATCATTTCCATTTTTAACAGACGCTGAAAATTCCATCCTCTATACAATAACCTTGTTAAAAAAAAACAAACTTTAAAAAAAAATATCACGTAATGAAAGAATCTTAAAGAGAAAACGTATTTCGAATATTACTGATATTAATACATTTCGAAAATAATAACGTGAAGACTTTGTAATGTATACATAAAGTTATAAACATATAATCTTATACCTTTTGTATATTAAATATAATATATTTTTTAATCCCTGGAGTTAAAGATGCAACGAAGAATAATATTCAAGAGGATACATATACAGAAGGCTGCCAATCTTACAGTGTTTAAAATGCTGTTCGTCAACCTCGGTGTACTTGAACAATAAACGTGTGACCAGTTCTTTCGGTTGCGTTAACACATTGACACAATCGAGCGTGCAACCACCACGTGCTATTATAAATCATTTTTAGTCAAGAGAATAGACCCGGTTAATTTTCCTGACTTACGGCAAAATATTTTGTACCTATTAGATTGATTAAAGTAGTGCTCACGTCAGCTACACATCGAAGTTATCTACAAAAGTATTTTAAAACATTCTAAACAGTTGAAAATTTAATTTAAAAAAGAACAAAATATACTGCAATTGATCTTAGTTAAATTGATGTCGAAGCAAATGAAAAGTGAAAAAAGAAGTTTCATTAATAATAGGCATAATCAAAGATGCTGTTATGCAGTTCACTCTACATAAAAAACAACGCGATGCCACCAATTAAACATACACATGTCTGTTCAAACTTTATAAAATTATGAAAACGTTAAATCCATAGTGGAAAAACAAAGGTAAGTTTCTTGTATCTCAAAAAACATAACGTGATTTCAAAGATAACTTCAACTATCTCATTTTAAATATTAACTTTTGATGATGAAAACAATGAATGTATTATTTAACAAATAGTGAAATCTAATGGACCAGTATGAATACGAACACTTTTTGCTGTAATACAATTCAATTTCCCGAAAGTGTGAAGTAAGTAATTGGTGTGTGATCGTTTTAATTACAGTTAACAGAATTTATACGATACACAAAGAAAAGTGTTTACCTTAATCTACAGCAGGGCAATCAGATTGGAAAAAAATGTTCAGGAAAAGAAATTGAAAACCGTAGTGAAACCAAATTCACATCAAGTTTAGTGGGAAATATATTGCTCGAGACTGAAAGAACAGAAGAAACTACCGCGTGCTCCAGGACAGCTCTACTTTTTATGTACTCTGTCCCTGCTCTTTCTTTCCCT